TACATTTTGGCGATAGAAAACAACGCGGCCTCTAAAAAAATACGTTTTGTACTAATTTAATAGATTTGAAGATAATTTTTTTCTTTTATATATGTCTACCCTAGTTTGTTCGAAAGTAAACTGGATTGAATTGTACCATTTTTCATTAACGCCGAAATTTTCAAAGACTGCAAAAAGAATGCTTAAAATCCAGTAAAATCTAAATTTAAGCTAATTGCTGCCATAATGGCCATTGCATTAAAAATTTTGAACATTAAATTGCAAGTCAGAAGAAGAATTTCAGAAAAAAATATTCATTTGTTTCTTTTCTCAGAAAAATTTCCTTTTTCTGCTATCAGATGCTTTAAGAAGCTAACAGAACAAGACTGCTCAACTCATGCCGAAGCCCTGAACTTTTTGACTGCCTTTTACGGTTTATGGAGCAGTAGTAACACGAAAAAATTAAATTTCATAAAAATTAAAATTTAAAAAACTTTTATTGAGATTGTTTGTAAAAATCATCACCCCAAAGGCCATATGAAGAGCAAAGTGATAGATTTCACTCCTGGTTTTAAATGAATTATGACAATGAAAATTTTCAACCAATTTGGGGTGGAATGGAATCCTTGATAGGCGAACAATTGAAAGGGCGAAAATATAAACTTCCGATCAGATTGTTCCAAAAATTGGACAGAAAGTGTGAAAATCTCAAAGAAAGTAAACATTTTCAGGGACTTAATTATAATAACGGCAAATTTCTCAAATTATCTCTGGCCGAGGGCGAATTGGAACAAATTTTATATTTCAAGGGTTTCGTTATAAAAACAAGCAAAACATTGCCTCAGTTATTTCTTTTAGTTGATCAGCAAGTGGTTCATTCAAATAATCGACTTTCCAATGTTTTTGCTTTCGGTCCTTAGCCCATCAGTTTTTCCCCAATTTGCTTCTTCGTTCAAAAGAATAGCATCCAATCGAACAATTTCTAAGACGGAATAACTCTCCGCTTACGCGTGAATAAAGTAAACGGATGCTTCAGTAAATTACCAGATCAGTAAACCAATTTACTTAAAATTTACATCTTTTGCAGAATTAAAGATTAGAGAATAACTTTTCCTTGAGCTGAAGCAAAAAATTTGAAATTTACGAGGCTCATGGGACAAGCTATTCTATTGCATTATTTGATTCAATTTTTGTTTTTGAGTAAAAAATTTGTTACTTTAGCTAATGTGATTACATAGTTGACTCAAGAATTTTTGGCTTACTGATCTGATCTGGTCCGCCCGTTTTTGCTTTACTGATACATCGATTTACTGATTTTTTACCGGTTAATTGACCCAAACTGGCCAAAATGGCTATCTATAACTACCCATAATTTTGCAAAAAGCAATTACAAGTGAAATATTTTTTCAAATTTAAGCTCAGGACAACAATAGTTTTTGAATGATATTTAAAAAATTTGTCAAAAATAGCTAATTAAAAAGTCTGCCTTTAATTCTGTCCATTTTTCTTATACTACAGATACTTATCCGGACGGATAACAGTTCCACTAAAAGCCGACTTTACTTTAACGGTTACAAATTTTCTGGAATAAATCAGTTTCACAAAATCAGTTATGAAAATGGAAGAATTAAGTTGCAGAACTGTCGTTACATTCATGCTGTTGAAGACGATTGCAATCGCATTATGAGATTTTTATACAGAAAGCGGATGTCTCCTGTTTACAACTGACAACTCGGCCAGATCAACCGTACAATCTAAGCCCCTCCCCAACCCCGCCCTAAGTGACCTACCGTAGAATACCCTCCCGAAGCATCTATTAAATCTGAAAATGATTCTGTATAAATATGAACTATAGACGCCCAATTAATGTTTTTGGCAAAATTTTTTGGCTTTTTACACACCCAGCCCTCACACATTTCAAAATTTCTTTTTTCAAAGTTGTTTTTTTTTGTATTATAATAGGTACTAAATGGGTGATGTAAAGTATGTGAAAAATAAATCTGTTCACAATTGTTGGTTTGTTAACCATAAAAGTTTTTATTGCATTGTAATAACCTTACAAACTTTTTTAAAATCCCATTCATCATACAAGTACTGGACAAAAATTTACAATGTTTTAATTTTGTTAAATGACGAAAATTGAAAACAAAAGTGCTGATGAACTTCATTTGAAGGATTTAGTCGGGTCAATACTTGAAATATATTTTTTTAAGCCGTAAGATATCACAGCCAGTTGTAGTCGGGTCGAAAATTGAAATTTCTTTATTCAAAGTCTAATAAGTTTTAGACTTGCGAATTCAAAAAAAGCGTTAACATTGACAGTTCTATAGCGCGTAAAACGACAAAAAAAACGAAAAAATTTGTTATGCTCAGCTTCAAAAACGGTCATATTTATTTTGACGATAGTGACCTTCAAAATATTTTGTGAACATACCTGAGACTTGTACAAGTTTTAGAGACAACATCCCTGCCTATGAAAATCCTGGTCATAAGTCGCATACCTGCCTATGAAAATCCTCGGCATAAGTCGGAGTAGTTTTTCGGCTCTTTTTCCTCTCCCCCCGCCTGCAAACTTTTACAAGCAAATTTGTTTACCACATTGTCCGATTGTTACAAAAATTTACATACAGGTCGTGACTAATAAGGCCACGACAAACATATTTGATCTTTAAAATCAACCTCGTAAAACCACTCGTTACACTAATATATTGAAGCTCGTGTGAGTTGACGAGGGAAGGAAAAAGAGCCAGTTTTTCTTCCTAAAGATTTGCTGGAACCGTTTCGTTGGCTAGCAACAAATATTAGTTACAAACTAGTTAAGAAGCTGTTTTTTGACGCCTGGTCATGCAGTTTTTTTTTCAATTCGGGTAATTGGGAATTAAGAATACCTACCCTAGCTGACCAAGGAAGCTTCTCTTGCAAAATTTTGCAAAATTTTGGTGACTGAGGAAAATAGAAAGAGATCTAGATCTGCAGATAATCAAAGACGACGACGCCTTCTCGCAGAATGAACACAGCGTAACTGACCTAAAAGTTGACCTAAGGCAAGATGAACTTGAGAAGTAAGAACAGACTTGAGAAGAGAGAACAGAGAAGAAGATGCATGAGACCAGAACAGACGGTGAACAAGAGTAAACACAGCGGGAAGAATAAACTCAAATCATCTAGATGCACAACCATCGACATGGCCGTTGATAAGTACTTTTGTCCGGGCAGTGGGAGTAGGAATTAACAACACCAAAACTTTAATGACTAAAAAGTTAAAAGAAGTGAGGGAATTGGGGGGGGGGGGGGGGGCTAGAGATAGCGACAGAGGATGCAGAACTGACCACAGACAGAGTATCAAAACATCATTCGAAATAAAAAAACGCAAATGATCTTGAGAGAATGAAGTTAACTTGAATTATGAAATAAGAGATTATCAGGCAAGAAATTTCATCAGCGAGGCTATCCTGTAGGACGTAGATAAAACTGATGCATCTTATGTGTTCTAGCCTGCTTTGATTCAAATTGTTCTAACTTCACAAACAAAAGCTCACAAAATTTTTTGAAAATTGCTCTTTTTTTCTAATCTAAAAAAGTTTGACTAAGTTTTGTTCATAATATACAAGAGATGGTTATTAATCAGAATATTTTAAGAAACAGCGTTTGTGCAGCCGACAGATAATTCAAACAACCAAACATCACAAAAAGTCAAGAATTGTTTTCGAAAAAAAATTGTATCCTTCACATAAATTAACAAAATTCGTTGAAAAACATTTCTTTTAGGAGATTCAATTGCAGGTAGATTTCCTGAACTAGATCAACCTTATCTTCTTTTAAAAAATTATGCGAGTGTTTAGTTGTGATCCAATTTAGCTGAAAAAATGTATTGTTCTGATCAACAACGGAAAATTATTTGTTTGGCGGTAGATTTCTGCAGGAAACATTCACATCTTTTTGATTAAAAAAATTGATACAGCCCATCAAGATTTCCAAAACTGTATTTTTTTTCGATCTTTGTTTTAATTTAAGAAATTTTTTCGCATTTTTTCCTGCGAATGAAAAAACATGGCTTGTCGGAAGTATTGACAACTATATGGAAGCTATTCCATGAAAAATAGTTTACTACTGTGGTTGTGACAAAATACAGCGGTTGTTTGGGTTGTCTGCATTTTGAATTTTTGTTTAAAAAATGTGTATACTGAAATCGATGTTCGTTTTTCTTTCTTAACGGTATCCACGACGCTAGATATGTTTCTAAAAACAAAAAATAACTGCTTCGACTATCAACTTCAGCCAAATTCAAGCAGTTGATTACAAAACTACAAAAGAAACC